AGCTGTTTTTCCTTGCTCTATCTCTCTTTCCATCCGTTTTTCTCTTGCTCTCTGTATCTTTCTTTCACACACACGCGCACACACTGTCGTCTCCAGGGTAGGGATGTGTTTGATATCGCCTGCCATTCACAGCTGGTGAGCTTTTGTTGTTTAGTTTTCGTCTTTTATCTCCAGCATCAGAGAGCACTTGTTCTCTCTCTCTTTCCGTCTCTCTCTATCACACACACAAACATTCAGACACGCTTTGCCAAAGCTGTCTGCCTCCATCTTTCTGGCGTGAATTTTAATTAAATTCAGTAAAGCTTTATTGGCGTGACTACAGGAGATCGCTGCCAAAGTCAAGCACATAACTCAACTAGAGAATACCGGAGATCCCCTCCGCCCGTCTGCCTCCCACTCTGTCTCTCAGTCTTTCCCTCTTCACTTGCTTGTGTTTTTCACTTTTACAATAGTTAAACAGTGAGAAAGGTGATGATGATGAAGGTTATGATGATATTGGTGATCCCTGTGTGTTTGTGTGTGTGTGTGTGTGTGTGTGTGTGTGTGTGTGTGTGCTTTTAGGGTGATGCCAACAGATCTGAGACAGATGACGAGGCACAGTCACTCTCTTACGAGGATGAGGAGAAGTTGAGAGAGTTATATGCTGCAGGTACAAACTCTTAGATCAACTTAGAGCTGAACAGACTCTAGGTGAATCCAGACTCACCTACAGTCACCTTGCAGGATCATTTGGACTCCTGGTTCAACTTACTGTACTTACTGCTGTACTTGATGTAGTTGTGTATCACACATAATGTCACGAGATCACCCTTAGATAATAGTTCAGGGACACAAAAATTCAATACATTTTTAAAGGTGCAGTGTGTAAGATCTAGAAGGATTTATTAGCAGAACCAGGCTATAGTATACATTAATGTGTAATCATTTTCTTTAGCTTAGAATGAGCCTTTTACATCTACATAGCAGCAGGTCCCCCATCATGGAGGCTGCCATCTTGAGTCACCGTGTTTTTTTTACAGAAGCCCAGAATGTGCAAACCACACACTGGCTCTAGAACATGAATTTCACATTTTCACGTTGAAGTAGCAGCTTGGATTTGGTGACATTTGGAAGACGATGAAGAAGTAATGTTAGAAACAAGAGGAAGCATTGTTGTGAGTTTAAGAGCTGTAATGTGAAGAAATGGAGGATTGTACTTAATGCTTTAACACAAGAAAAAGCAAGACAGCCTGAATCCCTCTTGTCAAAGAAGCAGACACAAAGAAATGGGATAGGCGACGGCACAAGATGAGGAAAAACACAGCTGTGGCCTTTCCCAGATGGGAATCCTTGATGAGGGGCAAATGTTTCCAGAATGACGCCAAAGTTACCTGTTTTCTGCAGGACAGGTAATTTAGCTTAACAGGTAAAGTTAACCCAAATGCAAGTTTTTGTTTGACAGCTTTACGTAGAACATGGCCAGTGCTGGGTAACCCACTGTGGTCAGTTGAGCTACTGTTTGCTTTTGTCAGCTGCACTTTTTTTTTCAAGTGCACATCTTGTCCTACATTTACGGTAATCGCTGTAAACAGTCTGTGAGGTCTGTCTGCAATCTGCAACCTCACCCCTAAGTCTCACACACTGCATCTTTAAAGTAATTTGGATACTTTTCATGATGTTTTCTTCATGTATTTCAAATTACTTCCTGTCTTAAAATCAAATTTAAACTACACATCTGGTCCTCAGTGGTAGTTATAACTCTAATCATAATTGATGCAAATGATGGCGAAAACTGTGAAAAGAATTCATCATTCAATTCATATTTATAAACCGGAGTTATCTTTTAACAAACACCATTTGTGTGTGTGTGTGCAGAGCTTAAGATCCAGGCCATGATGCTAAGCCCCAATGGCCTCCTGAACCCAAAAGCCTCCATGCCCCACCCTCCTCCTCTTCCTCCACATCTGCCAGTCATCAGACACACCGCAGCCACACCCACCATAAACTACAGCCAATCACGTCGTGCAAGTGGTGCATCAATAGACATCAACAGCCTCGAGCAGAGGTCACCGGTGAGACCCCAGACACATGTTCTTATCAACACTACCGGTCAAAAGTGCTGACACACTTTCCCATTCAGTTCAGCGGGAAAGTGTGTCCAGACCTTTGACTGGTCGTGTATATTATCACCACATTAACTCTGGGATATAAAGTTGATTTACAGGAACAGTCAATGTTTACAACTCAGCAGCCAAGCAGAAATATACAGTACATAGGAGAAAAGTCCAGGCTGAACAGTGTTTAAATATGATGATCAAGATCAGTTTCGAAATTTGATTTGTGATTTGTGATTGACTCTCACAAACAAAATGTCCCCTGGATCCTTTGTGGGGACACCTCCGCTATTATCTGCTGGTAAAGATACTGTACCTTGCAGAGTTTGTTTGTTTAGTTTTGTTTGATTATTGCTTTGTTTCAGTCCTTCTCAGCAAAATTTATGTCAGTGCCTAAAAAAATGACTCGAGTGCATTTCCTTCCTCATAAAACGTTTGCACAGCCAGATGTTTTGAATAGTTTTGAGGTAAATGGCAGTTTTGTTTACCATGGCACTGGGCGATTTGATGCATAGGCCTAGCTAGCAACTGATGACATGTTTCAGTTGAGGGAAGATGAAAAATGTTCTTGTTCTGTTTCCTGAGGTCTTTGTGGTCTTAAAACTCAAACCCTATTCTCTGTGATTTAATTAGAGCTGGCTAGGATTTTGTTTATTGCTTTATTGCCTCATGTCCGGAGCTGGTGTGTGAGTGCTGTACATCAAGCAGGGAACCAAGCAAACTCACTTTCAGCTCTGATCAGGTGGTGTGTCAGAACCACCCCAGTAGAAAATGTGTTTTCTGCAGCATAACAGAGTGTAACCTGCGCAGTGCAGGGAAAAATCTTTTCATTGCCCGTTCACACACACCGCATCACAGCGCTGTGTGTTGGGGTATTGTTTCTCTATTAGTGTCTGTTTTGATAAGACTGTCTGAATGTCCATGGAGGCATTCTGACTGGATCTTTTTTTTGTTGTTTTTAATTTATTCATACATATTCAGCTCAGATGGCTTTTCCATGGGTTTGTTTAAATGAACTCTAGCATGCATTTGTCCTTTGCTGTTGTCCAGAGTGGCATGATTCTGGTCAAAATGAGAATCAGTCTCGTTTATGCCCCCGTGCCAGTGATAGCCTCGACGGGGAGCCATTATGTTTTTGTGTTGTCCGTCCGGCCCATTCTTGTAAACACAATATCTCAGAAATGCCTTTAGGGCATTTCTTCAGATTTGGCACAAATGTTCAGGTCACTATATCCTCACACCTGGTCTATTCCTGTGAACGTGTCCGGTGAGAGGGCGCACACAACCGTGAGGTCTACCCAGAATTGAAATGGTGTTTTCTCCTAGGGGAGACATCAGCCTAGCCTCTGTGTTTGTTTAAGGCTCCAGCTGTTTGCAAGGGTTAATGTGGTTGTACTAATTTGCAGCATTACTTTTGCTTGCAGAAAAATGTAGGTGCTTTTGACTGTTACCACATTCTTTCATTCTTTGACTCGAGTTTCACACAGCGCACTGCACATCTTATTTTACAGTCTAAGCTGTGTTTTGTCGGAACTGAGGCTGTGGTGGGTTTTGTTCTTCCTCACAGTTGCTGGGTTGTTTCTAAAAAGCATTTTCTTTCTTTTACCTCCCTGCCATTCTTCCTGTGCACAGCTCGCTATGTGGAGTAACACTTGTTGACTCACCTTATGAAGAAATTAGGATCATTTGTTTTGATGCAACACTGAAGAGTCCTTGTATTCCAGATATCATCATTGTTTAAAGTTGATTTCACAGTGTGCGTGGGACAGTGGGCCAGGGAGCCGCCGCTCTAGCTGGACCAGTATTGGTCGAGCCCCCAGCCTCCACAGGAAGAGCCAGTCAGGAGAGATGGAGTCCCTGCTATCCGACACACACACAAGCTCCAACTTCAGCAGCACAGAGCAGTCTCTGGACCAGCCAGAGTACCTGCAGGTGCCTGTGGTCCACCCACTCGACTGCAACGGCACCACCTTCCTTCATCCTGACCGCTGCTACGACGACGCTCCTCTGACGACACATTACCACAGTGATCAGGAAGAGGAGGAGATTGAAGAGGTGCAGCTTTCTGCTTTTGTTTTATTGATTTAGATTAAAACATATAGATGTTAATAGTTAATAAAAGCATTTATTTGGAACATTGTTAGAAAGATCTGTGCTTTTTATGTACACACTGGTGTATAGTTATGTAATTTTAATTTCATTCATTTTTATTTTTAGGGCAAATTATAAATAAGGACTTTAAATACATATAAATTACCAATGAACATGTGTGTGTTCCTTTCAGAGTTTTTGTAAGAAGCTGAAGCTTATGCTGGAGCCATATGAGCCTCAGTGGTGCCGGGATCATGAGGAGTGGTCCCTGTATCTGTTCTCTCCACAGAACCGGTACCCACACACACACACACACACACACACACACACACACACACACACACATACAACCCGTGATACTCTTCTGAGTAACCTAGGTGATTTAAACCACAGCATGTGTGAAAATTCACACATAAAGTGTGAAGATTTATTAAAGCCTTTTTCACTTTTATCAATTACATCTGCTCGAGTGTAAACCTGTACGCTGGGATTCAGTTAAGAACATTTTTGTATTCTTGTCCTTAATTAGTAGTTGTTATGCCTGCGGTAGCTGTGGCCGGCGGGTGTTATGTTTTCAGGTTGTCCATCTGTTCGGCCCATTTTTGTGAATGCAGTATCTCAGGAACTGAGAGAATTTCTTCAAATTTAGCACTAATGTCTAAGCACCGGACTCAAGGATGAGCTGATTAGATTCTGGTGGTCAAACGTCAAGCTCATTGTGTCCTCATGTCCGTCCCATCGCCATGAGCTTGACTGGTTGGCAGAGGTATAGAACCACAATGCAGTCATTCTAGTTTTCTGAGAGTAAAACAGTCAGATTCACCAAACTCAACTTCAACTCACCCATTTCACATTGATTTCTTAAATGTGTGCATTTGTAAGATTTGATCATCAGCAGCTCTAAAATCTTCATGTAAGGCTTCCTGGAACATTTCATTGGCAAAATGTTAAAAGAAAGTAAAAAGAATTTCACACTGTGGAGCTTCAAGCACTGCTATCAGAAATCAGCAAACTACGTAAAACATAACCAGTTTAGCAGAGTCAGTAGTCGTATTAGAGGACCCAAAATAAATCCTAATAGTACATTTGTCACTGATGTGTCACGAGAGCAGCTCTGTACTGTGACAGAAACAAGGACAGAATTGTTCAGGCTGCATGTTAGTTGCTAAAAACGTCTTTTTAAAGCAAAATGGTTCATGGCTATTATGCGAGGCGGTGGAGGAGACATCAGTCACTGAGGTATTACTGTAGTCTAGAGAATATCAGAGGATGATGATGTTGGACAGCGACAACCCTGAGGCAACTCTCAGAGAATTTTCATAACAGTTATTGAAACCTAGAAGCTGTTGTGTCAAAATATGTCAAGAAAAATAAAATAACCCGGTAACTGAATTGTATTTTTTCATTACGTTTGTTATATATTTTGGAAATTCCACACTGATTCAGGATTAGCCGCTCTGCTCCGACAGGTCTGGACCCATCATGAATTATGCTTGTACCTATGAGAAACTTCTAAGTAATGCCACATATTTTCCTAAATCACATCTATTTAGGAATAGATCTGTTCATATGAGTCCTTTTTGTGTGAGGCATATTATGTTAAGAATTCAGTGATGGAAGTGGTGTAGGTGATGTGCAAATCACATAAGACAAATCATACAAACATCATAGAAAAGGTTTGGAGTAGCTGATGCTTCTTTTTTCCTTCTGTTTTTGCTTCTCTTCAGGTTCAGACTGTGGTGTCAGAGGGTCATAGGTCACAAGATGTTTGATCATATCGTCCTCCTCTTCATCTTCCTTAACTGCATCACCATTGCTCTGGAGAGACCTGACATCCAGCCCAACAGCATGGTAGCACACAAACATGCATCCAATTGTTCGTATGCTACACTTGTGAGAACCCTCATCGTTAGCTTATTGCGTTCCCTAGCGGTATTCTAACGACATGTCAAACCTGATCCTCGCAAATATGGAAGTACTAGATTCCCTA